TATCTTTAAATCAGAAAGCTGGACACAGAGAGTCTCCCTCATGCCCAGGAGACAGAACTTGAATAGAAGGTTCAGGCTTCCTTGTGTTTTTTATAGATTGGGTAATGGCAGATAAGGGAGACTCAGAATTATGGAAGGCTTAAGAGTTGATCTGGTATTGCAGTTACTTCTCAGTCGCTAAGTTTGACACTGGGATGTTTCCTCACTGGGAACTGTTCCGGGTCTCTTTCCTTCTCTCTGCCAGTTTGCTAATTAAAACATGGGCTTTGGTACTCAACGGTCTGCTCTGAGACCTGCAATTTGTATATGGAAGTACAAACATACTTTGGAAGTTGCAAGCCAGAGTAGAGATATTTTTTTCACAAGTGCAACACATCTTCACTCTCTGAAGTGCATACAACCAGAGTATCAAATTGCTTGAACCATCTCAAATTGCTTGAACACCAACATTTGGGGCTGGGGGGCAGGGCGGTTAACATTTACAATATTAGAACAGTAAGCACTTATGTAAATTACCAAAGGCTTTATTTTTCCATTTTAAGTACAAGATAGCTAACCAATGCAGCTTCAGTGAACAACCCTAACTTTGATGACAGCAGTGTGCCTTTTCTATGCATGGTTCATTTTGTGGATGAGAAGTGGTTGTGTTCTCAGAGTGGCCTTAGATTCATGATACCCTTACATCAGACTCCTGAGCAGCCTGGGTTTCAGACTTACATCACGACATCAGATAGCTCTTCTATTTTTGGTTGTTAGCCTAGCCTTTCATGGCTGAGCCATCGCTTTAAATATATATATTTAGAGAGATATAGAGATAAAGAGATTTAAAGAGCCATCTCTTTTAAATATATATTAAAGGAGTTAATATACTTATTTTTTTTTATTGTGCTAGGGATTAAAACCAGGGCATGATACGTGTTAAGCAACTATCCCAACCCTCAGTGTTTCATCACTACCCTTCATTTATCAAATCAGACATAATATGCAAAGGAGTAAGCAGTGCTTGATGGTATTAAAACAATGAAGATTCATTTCAGCCCAATATTTGCCAACAACACAATGGTTTTTCCTGTGTGTGGTTTCTAAAACTATTGAGGAAAATCAAGGTTTAAACATTTCAGAAGCTTTCAAAAGCATTCATAAGACTACACTGGTATAGTCATTCATCTTTATTATTGGTCACTGGTCCTCTGTTATGCTTAGTTTATGCATTCAACTTCATCACAGGCACAAGGCACATACCCATAGAAATAAATATAATGCATGAATGTTTCGGTGTTTCCCCTCAATTTCATGCATTTACAGAGATTCTGGAATGTATTTTCGACAAGTAAAAGAGACTAAAGGTAAAATAATGGGTTTATGTAGATTAAAAATAGTGAACTTCTTCCCCCCCACCCCAACAACCTAGATAACTTGTTTGTTTTCTTTAGGAAATTTTCAAAATTATTGATTACTCTACTTAAAATGTCCACACTCACAGAACTTTAGATCCATATGGGATTTCAGAAGTCATGTTGTTCAAAGCTCACAGTTTGGAGGTGGATCCCTTATGCTTTATGAAGATAAGTAGCTTGAAAGAAGTAGCATTGATGGCTGATGGAAAGAATATGGAGGGAGAGTAGTTCAAACTCCTTGGTGCAGCTGAAGACTAGAAGGTCTCATACGAAGTTTCACTTGGCAGGAAACACATGATTTGTACATCAAGATCAGCTTGAGTTTTTTTTTTTTATATATATCTGCACATTTCATAAGTAAGATGCCTGTATTTTACAGAAATTATAGTTTTCTCTGTGCATAAACTTCATTATTTTTGGTCATGTGTTTTTAGATTTTTTATATGTATATTTTTATATTTATTGTATATTTATACACACATATGTATATTTAACTTGGGATGATTATATTAGGGCACACTCTTAGGGGAAAAATCTTTGCTTATTAAATATTGTGAGGAAGCTGAGTTAAATGAGAAATAACAGGTATTCAGAAAAGAAAATGTGTTATATAGTAGATTTGTATGATCAATAAAAATCCCACTTTAACCCCTTCATGAAGGGGTTAGCCTCCCATTCATGAAGCAAGTGTTCTGCAGGCACGGAGAGTACAGACAGTCCTTTACCAGGTTGGTGTAAGGGGACCCCCTATAGCAGCTCTTGATTTCTCCCCTGACCACACACTGAGTAAGTACGCATTGGACACTGAGGGAAAGAGGAAAAAACAGTGCAAACCAGAGAGGGGAGCGAAAAATGCTAGAAGCAAATTCAAATAAGGCCAGACTGTTTTTGTTCCTCTTAGAGGCCAACCATAGAAGACCATTCAATAAAAATACACTGATAGTCTTCCTTCTCCTTCAAAGAGCAGAACGTTCATATCATCTGACTTTAAGCAAAATTCATTAAATTGACGTTATTTTCCAGTTATTTAATTCATAACGATAAAATTCAAAAGAAAATGGGTAAGATTGGCTGTTAACATTTAGCAGCACCAAGATGTGGAACAGAAACATTTCCTTTCCTTGAGCCAACAAACCGAAGCCTTTGAAAATCTTATTGCTACCTCTGCCTGCAAAATTGTTATCATCTGGCATTCCCATTCAGCTCAAGGCTGTGTAAAAGTTTCTGTGACTAAATAACTCTCAGGAGAGGGTCCACCTACACCACTTCACAGCTGGGTAAGCTCAGACGAGTGCAGAGAACAAAGCCCGTTTTGAAAGAAGAAGCTCAGCTGGGACTTTGCAATATTTTCAAATAATTGTTATATTTGAAGCAAAAATAAATACCAGGATGTACTATTTCTTAAGAAAGTAGCATATGAGGTAATAACTGGGCTTTTAATGTAGATTTACCTTCAAATTAACAATATTATTGTGGTGGCAGTTTGATGTTTGTCCTTTCTGAACAACTTCACTTGGACAGTTTTCAGTTTCATGCATTAACTTTTTAAAAATACAGGATAAAAATCTTTGTTTTTCAAACATTTTTGTAAAACTGAACTTTCTGTAACTTCAGAGGTTTTCCAGTTCCTTCTCATTGTTTTTGGATGATGGTGTCATTAAATGCACTGCTTATATTCTGGATAATTTCCTATTTTTACACTGTCTAACCTGCACAAGAATTCTTCCTGTCAAAGTACTCATAGACAGTGATTGTATTTATGTGACACACTGGGGTACATTCAGAAGATTTGGGGGAACAGCTTACATGAGCTTTAGAGAAAAATCATTGTATGTACTTTTTTTATTATTATAAAATTCTAAGGAAAGTACCAGGTCAAAGGAAAAACACAGTACTAAATTTTCATAAAACTTCCAAATAAAATATTAAAAAATAAAATAGTATGCTCCTATTTTCCAAAGTTGGTATTATACAAGTAATTTAGTTTTTAAAATGTGGTCTCTGGGGTCTAGATTGTGAAATGGGCAAAGGGGTACACTCAGTGGATGAGAGAAGGTTGTACCCACTTATGACCAACTGAAGACATGCACTGGTACCTTTCTGGCATCCCTCTGTGTCTGCATTCTTGTGGGGGTTTTGCATACATGCGTGTGTGGCAGGCAGAGGTCAATGACTCAACTGTATTGTGTAGAGTCTCTCACTGAAAAGGGGGCTCACTAATTAAATCCTTAGGCTGACTGGGTAGAACACTTCAGCAATTCTCCCATCCCTGCCTCCCCGCACTGGGCATCACAGCTTCCCACAGCGGTGCCAGCAGTTTATGTGGATTCTGGGGTCCATTCAGAGCCTCATCTTTGAGTGGCATGTGGTTTCTGGATTCAGCCATACCCACAGCACAGCCTTCTTCCCTTTAACTAAGCTGCATGCTCTGACACATTGTTAGCTCATCATTTGACTCAGAAATAATGCTGTTTTCCCCCAACTTGGTAGGACTAGGTTGTGCATGTGTTTATCACACTTAATGTCCTTCTGGGTATCCTGTTGTGAGCAGAACAGAGAAGGTGAAAGATGCCTGGCCAGCCCCTCCCCTCCTGCTGATGGTAAGAATGATTTCTTCCTGAGTTGCAAATTCATTCCCAAGGATGATTAAATATTTACAAAGTACTTAAGGAACCCCTCTATGCATTTGAACATGAAAACAGAAACTCTTGGTCATTTAAACTTTCCCCCCCCCCCAAATAAAGGGCTCTGAGTTTAATTCATAGCAATTCACTGACTTGAGAGATAACAGGACCCTGGGACAGTTGGGTGCGTTCTAAGCAGAGAGCTCACATGTGGACACAAAAGTAAATGTTAAAGTTCTAGGACACTGCCAGCAATACCAAAGATTTGTATTATTTAATTCGCACGATTTCCTCTGGGCTTAAAGGCGAAATGAGATTCAAAGCGCTAACCTTTTAAACATTAAGCTTTCTCATCGCCCCTTAACACCCAACACTACATCTTGTTCCATAAAGATGTCGTATTTCCTATATATTAACATATTATTTTGCATTTATTCATTAGGTTTTTTTTTTTCAAATTTACTTTAACATAAACCTTCCATTTATTGTCTCCCTAAATAAAAATAGCATCAAAGTCTTTTTGCAACTCCCCAAACACAGTTAGGGAATAATGATCGTATGCTAAAAACTGTAAAACGCAATTTGCGCTGTGCCCCATTTACTACAAAATCACTACGAACAATGCATTGTGTACAATGTATTGCCCCAGGGAAACGGGATCAGCCTCAGAAATGAATAAAGAACATTGCCTTGGATATCAGCTAACTCTGCTTCAGCGCTTTAAAAAACTATTTGTTATGATATTCCTTCCTGTCGAGCACATAATATGATTTCCTCAATAAAATCCAACTGTTGCCGGAATTCCAGTTTCTTTCATTTTCCACTTTTTAAGCACTAAATATTTAAACAATGCAGACCTGCACGTCTCGAGCCAGCCATCAGATCCACAGATCTCCTCGCCTAAGGTAGAGTAAGACTCCATACCGGGGACCATTACGACACACCAACAGACACAGCCGCAGCTGCTGGGGGTCCTTACCTGTCCACAGGCCAGACCCATTCCTCTCTCCCCCATGCCGTGTGGACATGACAAATTTAACTCCAGGGCATCTGCTCCAGAAGCCTGCAAGGAAAGAAAGTAGGGGTTGGGGGGAAGAAAGGCAGAACTTTATTCAGACATTGAAGCTTTCTCCATTGATTACAAAGACCATGCTTAATCTTAAACACTCTGATTTCACCACGGCTTCCTCTTTAGCCACACTCTTATCAGTCTCCCAAGTTGTAGCGAAGGTAAGAACAATAAGACATAGATTGAGAGCTTAAAAGGTGTAACTTGTTCCCCTCTATGCATTTTATTTCATCGATATAGTTCACATGATCTTAATTTTTATTTAAAATGTATTTTATATGCCAGTGTGGGCATGTTTCTTCGAATATGTGTGGTCAGTATACACAGTCAGAAGTCAGAGGGCAACACACAGGAGTTCATTCTCTCCTCCCACTGAGTGGGTTCTGGAGATGAAGTTCAGTTGTCAGGATCTGTGATAAGTGCCTTGGCTCCCTGACCTGTCTCAAAGCTCTGAATCTTTGTGTTATCACAATACCTATTCCACTGACAGGGAAAAGGAAATGCATGACATTAAATGGCAGGTCTGGCTGTTAAATGAGGTAATAGAAATTTGAACTCGATCTGTTAGAAACCATACTTTGTCTTTCCTACACAGCTTCTCCTTCTGTAGAGAGAACTTAATAATTCTAAATAATAAATGAGGATGGAAAGAAGCATGCAAAGAAAAATGTAGTTAGATACTTAGAATGAGTGAGTAGAACTTAAAATTTTTAAACTAAAAGCCAACTTCATCATATTAAAAAAAAAAAGCTCATTCTAAGAAGCATAAGCTATTGGTTCTCTTACTGAACTTCAATGACTATGAGTTATTATAATTTAAATAAACCATTCTTCCCTTAACACATAAATGGATGATTTCAAACTGAAGAGAACAGCTCAGAATACTTGGAGACTTTTCAAATTCTTGGAATGCCTATTGGGAAAAAAAAAATCAAACACTTTCTAGGGGCTGAGAAGATGGCTCAGAGGGTAAGAATATTTGTTGTGCAGGCATGAGAACCTGAGTTTTAACACAGCATGTAACGTAAAATTTGTTAAGGAATTGTGTGTCAGTCACCCAATGACAGGAGAGAGACAGAGACAAAGATCCTAGGAGGAACTTTCCAGCTAACAAGAGACCCTGCCTTACATGAGTTGACTTGTGATTTCTGTTCTGGCCTCTGCATGCAAAACTGGCAACCACACTTCCATATGTAACACACACACACACACACACACACACACACACACACACACACACACCATCTTTTAAATTTAATATAGTAACTCAAGGGACAGAGGACAAATACATTAAATTCACCAATTTTACATTATTTTACCTGCTTCTAGTATTTGATAGTAAGTTTATAATTAGGGGCTTGAGTAGATTTCAATAATAATATGTTTTACCTTATAGGAAGGCTTTTATTTTTTAAAAAATCCACTATTTACTGAGTATGCCAGACTGCTCTTTAAACCAAAAGCTGTTTCCTTAGTGTTTCTCTATTCTTCCTAATTGTTTTTCTCTATTTCACAAATTTTAAGTGTGATCTTAACGAACTCAACTTTAGTTATTTCTCAGTTGATTTTCCTGACCATCTTCATTCATTAGCACACCTGCTTTTCCTCCTCTACATCTGTGAGGGTACATTTGATCATTTTCCATGTTTCCAAACACGGACACATTATGCTGCTTTGCTACCATAATCCAGCTTGGAAATGCTTCACGTTACCTAACAAGTAAAGTAAACCAGGCTGGCCCCTTCCTGCTGGCATTGCAGTGAATGTAGAGAATGCCATGCCTACTGGACTCTGAGTTTGCTGCAAAGGATTGAGGAGGCTTTAGGTGAGCCAGCTGGTCTTCCTAGTCTGCAGCTGGACAAACATAAAGTGCAAGTAGTGGGACCTGTCTCAAGTTCTCGCCATATGGGAATGATGCACCTAGTTTAGATTGTGTATTACAATTATACATGACCGTACACTTGTGCTTTTTCCTAGTTACTTAAGATATTTCCTTTACACAGGTTTATTTAGCAATTGATAGCAAATCAATGCCACTTTGGAGTATCAGACCTTTGGGAGGCACTTGTGCACACACACACACACACACACTGTATATATATATATATATATATATATATATATATATATATATATATATCAAACTGACAATTGAAACTGGCATGGTAGACAATGCTAGCTGAAGCTAATTGTGTACATTCCATATGCAAGGATATTTCACTAAGCCTTTTGCTTTATCTTACTTCAGCTTTAAAACAACTCCAAAAGCTATGGCACATCATCATGCCCCTTTTACAGTTGATAAGCCAAACATAAAAGATTCCAATGACCCATCTCACAGAATCTTGAATGTAGAGCCTGTGGTTTATCCAGTGATTTATATCAGTGGGTAAAATTATTATTAAATCATTTGTTCCTTAAGTAATGTGCAAATACTACATCTTTTCTTTCATTTGTAGTCTGTAATCTTTACGCTGCAGTGAAAAACGTGTTTATATATGATGTGACAGTCGATGTAAAGTTTGTAAGAGAAGGAAGGGACTAGCATGAACAGGGAAGTAAGCAAGGCACTGTTAGGGAAGTAGGAGGGAGAAGAAGGTCAAAGCACATTATAGATGTCCATGCAGTTCCCTGATGAATCTGGTACCAGGGGAACAGAATATGTATCCATGAAAAGCCATTTAGAGCACCCCCTGGTGATAGTGTCACCAACCAGGAAGTCATTGAGAACATGTCTTATGCATCAAAGAGTTTGTAGCGACAGAGTCAGAGCTTGAACTTCTTTCTACAGACTGGGGTGTTTTCCTGTCCATTGATTCTGTATCTATTCATATCTCAATGTGTGCAAACACAGCTTGTCAGTCATGGGTGTGAGGTTATTTAGCAGACACAAAGAGAAAGAAGTCACTGGCTCCCAAGCCAAGGAATGCTGCAGTGGACTAAGAAAACATAACCTTTCAGCATCCTCATGGGTTCTAAACAACTGTCCAAATCAAAATTCTTCAACACCTATGGAATATGGTCTTATCTGGGGATCATTATTTAAATTTCTCAAATAGTATACACCTGTGCCTATCACTAAAATACAGGCTTGAAATGAACATCTAGGCCTTAAAATTTGAGACAAAACTGTTGTGGGTGACACTCAGGGCCTAGGGAGAACATTCATTTCACCTTTCACTATTACTGTTCTCTGAGTCCACACCATCAGGTTCCAGGGTGGCTACTTCTATTTTTAAGCAGCCACAACCATTCTAAAAAGCTATAATTGCCGAGTTTGAAAGAAACGTTTACATAAACTGAAACTGGCCTAACATTCTGACTCCAGCTAGTCATAAGGACTTCAGTTACTTAGCCCAGAATGCATCTATTCCATCTAAGAAAGGAAAAGAAAATGGTGGTGGTATGGGGTGTGGGCCAATATTCATCATCGCTGGAGGCATAGCTAAACTCCAGATTAGAAATGTGGTAAAGCTGTTTTCCACTAGGATTTAAGGCCTACTCCAGAGGATAAAAACGCATGTCTGGTACTGCAGACCTAAACCGATGGCTAGAGAGCTCACAAGCCTTAGTCATGAACCTACTGCTATTATTCAGCTAAAAAGACATAAATGTAAAGAAGGTTTTTGTTTGTTTGTTTTCTGTGTGTGTGTGTGTGTGTGTGTGCCGTAGACTGGTCAATGTGGAGAGGATATGGCCATGTGGGTGCTCAACCACAAATGGGACATCTGTATTATACCCCCTCCCAAAGGCTCGGGCATCATTACACAAGAGGAGGCAGAAAGACTGTAAGAGTCAGAGGCAAGGAGCACCAGAAGGAAAGAGCGTCTTCTGGACATGACAGGACATTTGTGTTCATGAACTCACAGCAGCTGTGGTTGTCAGCTGACATTGCAGTATGGAGTGGGAAAGGGTTCATGAGCCCCCGCCCTAACTGAGGATGTTCAGACAGTTGCTGGCATCTGAAGAAGGGAGAATAAGTTTTGTTTTTCTTCTCCTTTTCTTTCTTTCTTTCTTTCTTTCTTTCTTTCTTTCTTTCTTTCTTTCTTTCTTTCTTTCTTTCTTTCTTTCCTTCCTTCTTTCAAGTTGCTCCTCTTGGTAGGCCTACCCTACTCCAGTGGATGAGCCAGCAGTATTTGGGCATCTCAAATAAATAAAGTAAAATAATCTATAAAAATAAAAGTGTATTAAGACATAAATGACAGCTTGGGAGGGGACAAAAATGTAGAAAATTGACTGAAAGTAACCAGGGGAGGGGACAGACTGAGGACAGGCCATGTAGCACTTATAGCCAAGGTAACCATTGTGGACGTGCTAGGAGCTGGAGAGATGGCTCAGTGGGTAGTGTAAGGGCCTGGGTTTGAAGCCCAAACTGCAGGAAAATGCTGGGTGTCTGCAATCCCAGCACTGGAAGGTGGGTTGAGGAAGATCCTTCGTATTCACTGGGCAGACAGTCTGAGCAGACTAGTGGCTTCCATGTTCAGCAGGAGACTCTGTCTCTAAAGGTAACATGGAACACACCTGATAAGGATGCTCTGTGTCCACCTATGGCCTCCACGTCCATATCCACACACATGTACAAAAAGACTTAATATGCATACGCACATACACACACACATTTAGAAAAGCTATTGGAATTCTGAATCATGAAGTTGTTGAAGATCAGCTTGGCTGGGGGAGTATGGATACATTACCTACACGCAGCCTGTGTATTTTCCTACATTTGCTGGTTTTGCTTACCTTCCGGACACAAACACTCCGACAGCTCCAGTCCCTGTGGCTGTCAGCATATCTACTGGGTTAGCTGTCACAGTCTTCCCCTATGTGAGACCTAGATCTAACCACAGCCTGCACTGTCCATGGCCAAACAAGAACTCCAGGGGACCAAGAACCATGTCTTATTAAGGAGTCCTGTCCTTTCATTCCGGATCTGGGTTTAGATGAAGAATCACACTTCAGGCCATGGGGTCTGACTGTTGAGAGGGGTAGAACACAAAGTCAACACTGTTTCTATGATTCCCTCAGGAGAGACTGGAGGCAAGAAGGATCAGCTCTTCTCTTCCTCTTCTCCTACTTCTATGATAGGATGATCTTGCACAGCTCTCCCTGACCCTACACCTGAGAAATCTTCTCTGCTTCCTCAGGAAGCCTGTCCATGCTCTCTAATGCACCATTGTACATTCACTTTCCTTTCTGCCCTAGCTCATCTTTAATATAGATATAAATTATTGCTTTGGGATTGTATCCTTTAACAAGGTCTTTTCTCATTAAATATGACTCAATCTCTATTTTCTAGGCTAATACACATTAAGAAAGAAATGGATTCTAGTTGTGTTAAAAATGCATTCAAGATCTACTTAAGATCTAATACTGGCAGCCTTCAGTAACGGCTCAATTTTCCATGTTTCTGATTACACATTTAAGCTGTATGCACATCCCTGGGCTAAGATGACTCCTGTGTACCTCTGTTTGACTGCCTGTTTGACAGTTCATAAATGTGCTTTATAAATAAATGTTCCCTTGCATTAAATGGAGAAAACTAATCAATATCTCAGGAAAGTAAAAGCCTCTATGAGCAAATCTCAAACCAAGATAACTGAACGGAGCAACATACTGCTGAGTTTGCCAAAAGTTTTGATGTGCTATAAAAGCCTGAGGAAACTGCTTCTTTGCCATGATGTCTCAAACAACATGGCAACACAAGCAAGACTGATGAGGATAAAGTACTGGAAAGTATTCTGACTGTAAGTCCTCTAAGGCTAGAATTAAAAAAAAGGGTTCGTTTAGGTTTTGTTTTATTTACAAGAGAAAAACAATCATCAAGCAAGTGAGGATGATGCATCACTCTGGACACACAGTGTCCTTGGGATGGTTGCATTGGCTTCAACTCAATGTATAATTTAAACATAACTAATGTTGTGACCCTACTATACCAGAAGCATGGGCAAATATGTCTGTGTCTAGGTTCATCTTAAAAGCTATTCGTGTGCTCTTAATTGTCTATCATAGATAAGAAAACAAAAATCTGGACCAGTGAATCAAAGAAAAGCAATGTCAGCTTTTGTTTTGTTTCGTTTTGTTTTTTCAATGCTATCACCAAATACCTGAAAAGAAGCAACTTTTAAGTTGGCTTTCTCCTCTCTCGCCCCTTTTTACTTAACCTTGAGGTGTCACCAACATTCAGGGTGGGTCTTCAGATAAACAAATGCCTGCACAGACATGTGCAGAGCTGTGCCTCATTAAGGGCCCCTGGCATTTCTTAGTCCACCCAGTGGATTTCATTACCCTTCCTCCTTGTGCGAATTTAAACCCAGAATCTCACATCCTTAACTACCGATCTTTCACAACTGTAGATATTTTGATGTCACACATGTCTTTTTTGTTAGCAGTGGTGATGAGCAAAGGCTGATGATAGATTTCCTCAACTCCAATTAAACACCCAACCCACCTAAAGGACAAACTTTATAACAATGCATACATGCAACATCTAGCTACTTGCTACCCCCAAAACTGTTGGCACAGCGGTATGGTTCAAGAGTCCTTATACCACCCACAAAAAATTGTTCATGTTAGACAGTGTAGTGACTTTGAATGGGAACCATATTTTGGTATATTTTACTGTGAATTCTTCCATTGCAAAACAATAGTATGATTATGTGTTTTGAACTGTGGCTTCATAAAATCAAAATCAGTGAGTGGTTCTCTTTTTCCTTTTCAATACAGTTATTTTGCATGTGGCTATGAGCATGAATATGCTGTGTTGTGTGTGGAGGTCAAAGGACAAATGGAGAGTCAGTTCTCTACTGACTCTAGTCTGGGTCACTGGGATGGAACTCAGGTCATCAGAATTGATGGTAATCACCTTTCCTCACCAAACTGCCTCACAAACCCAACGTGATTCTTAAAAAAATAAAAAAATTAAAAAAAATAAAAAAAATAAAAATAAAAAAAAAGATGGTGAAGGAGAAGGGGATATGAAGTTGGGAGGGTGATCTGAGCATGGAGTCAGGGAGGATCTTGAGTTCGTGGAAAGAGGATATACACAAAACACATTTCATACATGTGTGAAATTATCAAAAAATATGTAAAATGTTATATTTAACGAGTTATTGGGTGTGTATAACATGAGGTGTGATGGAATCTTTCTGGCGGATGCTGGCTGATGCCCTACTTCCAAGGTGATCCAAAGGTCTATGGGTTTTCTCCTTGTGCCAAACCGCAAAGTTGGACCAGGCTTAAATTTATGAGAAGCATGTTGGTTTCCCTGCAGAATGTATGGCTTGTTCTTCTTGATATGTATATTGTTCTCCTATGGAGATATGAGATTTTGTGACATAATAGAAAGCTGACTCTTTTCTCTGTCTTTGTTATACAGTATTTAGAAAACAATAATAAATACGAGTGAAATTAAAGAACAAAGCAGAAGGTGATAACATCTACATTTGTTAAAATGCTTATTACAGCCTTTTGAATTTTGTAAGTAAACCCTCCCACTTAAAAATTAATGTCCATTACTGAAGGAAATAATTTTTAAAAGTATTTTATTCTTACAGAAAAGCAGAGAGGCACTCAGCGTGATAAAGCCATTTATCATAGTCAGCTTAAAATTGGCAAAGCTCATGCCAAGCACGGGCTCCGTGGAAGATTTCATGGTCAATTAGGTAAATACATGTATAAAGCAGACCCAGCACTGAAGATCACGGAGCCAATTACAGATCATGTTTAATTTCACCCCCCTAAGTCCCAGAAGTATTTTTTTCCCTTCAGAATTTTAAAAGTATCCAAATAAAATGTACAACCAACATTTTTTGAACACCGTAGAGAAGATTATGATGTTTCATAATGTCAGGTCTTCAGCATGCATCTTTAGCATGGCTGAGAACTTTTCAAGAGCCCTAGCCAGGAATGTCCCACCTAAGTTGCCTAAGTGTATTTTTCCGTTTGAAATACAGATCTGTGGCACATGGCTAGTTGTTTGCATTTGTGCGAGGTTTATTTATATGGTGGCATGGCTGGTGGTGAGCATGCCATTCAGCAGCCTCCCATCCCAGCACTGGTTATGTGTTGGTATTCAAACCAGAACAGTATTAAATGAACCTTTTATACTTTAAATATTCAGGACTTTTATATTCAGAATCTCTTCTCTTACTGTCAAACTAGTTTGCCTAAAGGCAAGGCAAGATCAAGTTAGACTCTCAAAGGTAGAATTAAATTTTATCATGGCATCCATCATAATATACAGTTTGCTTAATATGCAAATGCAGAGCATATGGATTCAGAGAATAAAGGGATTTCAGGTACCGTGTGAAATCCAAGGGACTGCTTTTATAGAATAGATTCCTTTTAAATTTACATTTCCATCATTTAAATAAAAACACAGGGTAAACAAATTATAATAGAAATGTTTTAACTTACATTTTCAATTCAATTTCACTTTTCCTGTATATATATATATATATACAGGAATATATATATAAATATATATATATATATACAAATATATATATATTTGTGGCAGCTCTTTACTTAAAACTAATAAAAACGAGAGAGGTGAAGTAAGATAAACAGAAGCTAAAGAAGTTCTTACCTCAGCCATTTTGGAGAGTTCCATCCAGTCGTTTTTGTTGTAGCTGCACATAATGCTGGCGATCAGGATCTTCACAGAGAAAAAGAGAACAAGAGAATGTGTGTTCAAGGAGGCCTCACTGCTTAGCACACATATAAATGCCCGTACACGTATATCTATAGTGACAAGCTCCATTAGAAACATTAGTTTTCACTCTGCTGCAAAAGGAAATGTCACTAGAAGTGGCGGCTTGAGCAGCTATCTCAACATGTATGTGCATGTGCCTGCAGCTTTGTATGAGAGTTCACAGGTGTGCTAGTACATGTGTATGGAGCTAGGCATGCGCATCTGTGTGTAGGTGCATGATTGCAGGGCGCTTGTAGAGGCCAGAGAACCTTGGGCGGGTTTCTCAATGGCCATTTCCATTTTTGACTCTCTCTTCTGGAGACAACATTTGTCACCGGTGTGGATATCATCGACTTAACTCGATTGGCTAGACAGTGGGCACCATGCATCTCTTGTCTCTATATCCTCAACACTGAGGCTCCAAACCCTAGCTGCCACTCCTAGCACCTTACGTAAATTCTAGGGATTGAACTCTTCTCCTTAGGCCTGAGTGGCAAACACTTCACTGACCAAAGAACAATTCCCCCCCCCCCTTTTTTTCTGAGTCTCAGCTTTCTCACTTCTCAAACATGGATTATAATATTGACTTTGTCATCTCAGAAAGTGGTAGTGGAAATTGCACAAATTTGTGTGCAAATGTGTGCAAGTGAGAGAGAAGTCTAATTTCTAGAACGCCGTTGAAATGCATATTACTATAATTTTTAGCACAGCAAAAAGAGTTCAATGTAAGGGAAAGAAAAATATAATGTTCCCTTCAATAATAACACATTACAATATGTTTAATAGTTTCATATATTTCTTGTGAATTATAGTTTTAAATTACATTAAACGACTTTACATTGCATTGGATTTCGGTAGGCTGATGATTTATATACAGCCTTACATTAACCCATCAATGGAGTATATATGGCAGTAGTTACTAGTGTCTGCTCCAAAGCCAGGATTCTCCCATCTTTAGGTTGTGCACTGAATGAGGATGTAGATTTCCTAATTAGTAAAATATGAACAACAGTACAGATAAAAGCAAGAATGTCACTAGCTAAGACATTTAGCTTTACAGTGGGCATTGTTTGAAAGGATTTTGCTTTATGAACTTATTTAATAATTCCAACCTTGTTTGGTCCATTTTGATGCCCATTTTTCTCCCTTGGTCCCAAAGGCCCTGAGTTGTAAAGCCCATACCATTACTACAAGGAAGATCAGGGCTCAGGCCCAGAGGTGCTACTCGTAGTCCATGATTTCAGTTGCTAGCTCTTGCTGGTCTTACGTACGTACTCAAGGAATGCTAGGAATTGTTTTTCAGTGTTACATCCTTCACTGACTATGAGACGAAGGCACCAGGAGTTTATGCTGTGCACGAAGTCATGGGGTCTAGTGACAGAATCTGCTAGAGGTTACTGAGCTGCCACCATACATTTCTTTCTATATGTGTCTAACATTAGTGGGACATACATCAAAAGTCAAATGAATGTTTCCATCATGGATGGAAAGATGTAAAGCTGAGAGCACATTGGCGAGAGCTCTGAAAACCATGAAGAAGCTGTCTTTGAAACTGGGTTAATGTGAGTCCTTTGGTAGACTCTAGACACCATAGTAACTACTTTTTTTTAATGTTTTTTATTAGCGTTTTTAAAAATAAAATTATTAATTATTTCTTATGATTTACTCACTTTGTATCCATGCTGTGGCCCCCTCCCTCATCTCCTTCTATGCTCCTCCCCTACCCTACTGATAGGGTAGGTCTTCCTCCCCTCATATGTGACCCTAAAGGAGCGTAGAAATCATTCAATTCCCTGGTGGTCAGACAATCAGGGACAAAAACTACATAGATGAATGTCTTTTTCCTTAAACATTTAAGATGATGGATTTCCAGGTTCTTTATTCTGTCAAAGTAAAAACAAACAAACAAACAAAAAAAGCAACGTATAAATTATTTAGATTGACCCCTTTAAGGGTCCTGTATCACATATCCTGTATACCAGACAGATACTTACTCTACAATTCATAACTTTAGCTAAACACAGTTATAACGTAGCAACAAAATAATCTTACAATGAGTGGCTCACCACAATATGAAAAACCATATTAAAGATTTGCAGCATTAGTAAGGCAGAGAACCACTGGTTTAGAAATACTGCCATACCTCCTCCGGTCTGAGGGCTCCTTTAAGGGGAATAAACATTTTTTTTTTCTTGTCTTATTTCAAATAGTTCAATCCCCCAGGATAGCCCAAACCAGGCAATTTGGAGGAAGAAAGGGTATTCACCCTCTGTGTCACACATGAGAACCCAGACCCTCCTTTTGGACTTGGTCGCTGACTCCAGATACCCCGTCCGTGAAGAGGTTCTTTGTGTGCTATGCTGTATGGTGTGTGTGTTTTTCATAAAATTTGGCTGAAAGTAGTGATTGTGATTTAGTTCGTGTTTTTTGTTTAATTGGTGGAGGAAAACAAACCCATCCCTGCACTCTTAAAAAGACATCATCTGGGCACCATCATTTAATAAACAATAACCAATATAGCGGTTGGCATATAGAAACAATTCCATGAATATACGCATTAAAGCAACAAATGTTCAAGAGAAGGGAGTTGCTTTATTAGCTGGTCTTTTTTTTTTTTTTAAACATTAAGCAAAAGTGGATATCTTGGGATAGAGAAGAAGATAAAAATCAACAAGTTGGTGCAAAACTATTAGAAAATAATTTTTCTTTATTAATTACACTTTAATCACTTCATATCTCCCCTGTGGTTCTCTACCTCCTCCCATCCCAATCCCTCCCTTCCTCCACCCTCTGCATGCATGCCCCTCCCCAAGTCCACTATAGGGGAGGACTTCTTTTCCTTCCTTCTGATCCTAGTCAATTAAGTCTCATCAGGAGTGGCTGCATTGTCTTCTGTGTCCTGGTAATGCTGCTTTCCCCTCAGGGGGAGGTAATTAAAGAGCAGGCCAATCAGTTCATGTCAGAGACAGTCCCTGTTCCTATTACAATGGAACCCACTTGGATACTGAACTGCCATGAGCTACATCTGTGCAGGGGTCTTAGGTTATCTCCATGCATAGTCCTTGGTTGGAGTATGAGTCTCAGGAAAGAACCCTGTGCTCAGACTTTTTGTTTCTGTTGCTCTCCTTGTGGAGTTCCTGTCCTCTCCAGATCTTAGTGTTTCCCACTTCTTTCCTAAGATTCCCTGCACTCTGCCCAAAGGTTGCCCATAAGTCTCAGCATCTACATTGATAGTCTGCAGGGCAGAGCTTTTCAGAGGTCCTCTGTGTCAGGCTCCTGACTTGTTCTCTCTTTTCTCCTTCTTCTGATGTTCAGCTTCTTTGCTTTTCTGGATAGGAATTGAGCATTTTAGCAAGAGTCCTCCCTCTTGATTAGTTTCTTTAGGTGTACAGATTTTAGTAGGTTTATCCTATATTATATGTCTATATGAGTGAGTATATACCATGTGCATCTTTCTGCTTCCTCACTCAGGATGATCTTTTCCAGATCCCACCATTTACCTGCAAATTTCATGATTTCCTTGTTTTTTATTACTGAGTAATATTCCATTGTGTAGATATACCACAATTTGTGCATCCATTCCTTCACTGAGGGGCATCTGAGCTGTTTTCAGCTTCTGGCTATTACAAATAAGGCTGCTATGAACATGGTTGAGCAAATGTCCTTATTGTGTACTTGAGAATCTTTTGGATATATGCCTAGGAGTGGTATAGCTGGATCTTGAGGAAGCGCTATTCCTAGTTGTCTGAGAAAGCGCCAGATTGCTTTCCAGAGTGGTTGTACAAGTTTACATTCCCACCAGCAGTGGAGGAGGGTTCCCCTTTCTCCACAACCTCTCCAGCATGTGTTTTCTCTTGAGTTTTTGATCTTAGCCATTCTGATGGGTATAAGGTGAAATCTTAGGGTCGTTTTGATTTGCATTTCCCCAATGGCTAATGAGGTTGAGCATTTTTTAAGTGTTTCTCTGCCATTCGATATTCCCCTGCAGAGAATTCTCTGTTTAGCTTTGTACCCCATTTTTTTAATTGGATTACTTGATTTTTTGCTGTTTAACTTCTTTAATTCTTTATATATACTGGATAATAGGAGACAAAGTGAAGAACAATTGAGTTTAAGGTACATATCATTTCTGGTAAAGGGGAAAATACAATCAGAGTTGAAGGTATACAAGATGGTATGACTATACAGCCACTGAGGAGGTGGCAAGAGGTATGATGTATGAATGTGGGTGACAGGGATAATCATGGAGCATTAGTCAAACAAAGGTTGAACAATGGGCTATAGAATGCAGAGGGCCAGCAGTTTAGGACAAATTCCTAACACAAGTAAATGCATAGAATCAAAAGCAGACGATGAATAGAGGAGGGGCATCTAGCATGCCCTCTCTGCATTGTATATGTGATGATTCAGCTCTTCTCTGATGAAATAAGGGTTTCCAAAAGAACGTTTTGCCCATGATAGTTTCTGTAGAGACCCAAAGTAAAAGGAACACCCCCTTTTTTTTGTCCTAATATCTTTATCTAGTATCAAAGGGTCTCTATCCAGACCGGGTCCCTTTAGTGACAAATGTTCTGTCTCCCTTTCCAAGTATTCCTGTTCAGAGATGCCTGCTCACTCTCCAGCAAGAAAAAGGGCCCTGGAGGAATAATAAAGAGAACAACAAATTGTTTAGAATGAGACCTAATGTCTCCTGAAATGGCTCTCTGATGTAGGGAAAGACTCAGAAGGATGAAAAGGAAAAGGGAAAATGAGGAGGGACAGGAAGAGGAGCTATAGGGTGGAGAAGATGAAGGAGAAATGAATAAAAGGAGGAGGGAGAAGTATATAAGGCCACAAGGAAGGAAAGAGGAGAAGGAATGGGGAGAAGAATGAGGGGTGTGACAGAGAAGGGAGAAGAGGAGGAACAGCCTTATTCCCCATTTGGACAGAGTCAGGTGACATTCCAATTGTTTTCTTTGGAGTAG